CTAAAAAAAAAAAAAAAAAAAAAACTGAGGTTTTTATTTTTTGGTGTTTTAATAGTAGATAGTTTCTCCGGTGTTCCCTTCTTTTTTGGAAAGACCAGTGTTCTCTACTTTTTCAGCCATTAGATCTGATTAAAATCACATTAAATTGAAAAAGTATGCATAACAGATAAATTTTGAAACATCCTCGTAGTTTGTAGTAGTATCATAATTAAACAGATCATATGGTAAATTCACCCAAGAACATATTACATAGCAAAAAAGATCCTTTTCACCAATACAGAAACGCCATAAGAAACGATTGATATCATTAACAGCATACATACATATCTATAAAATATCAAGAGATTCTTGAAGCCACAAATTATATTGAATTAAACAACTGAATTCCGGAAAATAATTGGATCCCCAACATCTCTAATGTTATTATTATTATACTCTAATATTTGAATCAACAAAAAATAGAACCAATTCTTCCAGGAAGAAAAAAACACAAAAGAAAGGGGAAAAAAAACGTTCTATTTCTATAAACAACAAAAGTGTTTTTCTCTTATAATAAACAAAAACAGGAGGACAATTAGTATCAAGACTTTCAGGCACATCCCAATTAGGTTGGCACCCACTAAAAAATCTATCTTATACTATTTCGCATCCTAATATTATTAATATAAAAAAAAAATTTTGAACAAAGAAAATTTCATTAGCTTCCAAAAAGGACTAATCATCCTTAAGAATCTACCCAATAAAAAAAAAAAAATCTCCAAAAAAAGACAAATCCCCCTTAAAAATCCCCCCAAAAAAAAAAAAAAAAAAAAAAAAACCTTTAAATCATAGACGTTACTCTATATATAGAGCTCCAAAGTTGAGCAAATCATCATCTTCATCTTCATCAAGTACTAGTTCTGATCAACCACCACTCACATAAGGATGATCCAACAACATCTGAGCCGACCACCTTTTCCGAGGATCCCTTTCGAAGCACTTGCTCAAGAAATCCTTCCCCGTTTCCGGCATATTCTCCGGTATCTTCGGCGTCTTCTCCCTCGTAACCATCAAATGAACTATAGTGACGGAGGCCAAACACGGCCACGCGTCGCGTCCAGTTATCATCTCCACCACAACGCATCCCAAAGACCATATATCCAACGCAGTCACAATCTCTCCACGCGGCGCCACAGCCTCCGGCGACATGTACGCCGTCGTTCCTAGGTTTTCGTCTTCATCAGTGGCCGCCTCCGATAACTCTTTCGCCAATCCAAAATCAGAAATCTTGAGCTGATATATTCCATCATGTTCAGTAGGAAAGACAAGAATGTTGTCGGGCTTTATATCGCAATGCACAACGCCTTTTGCATGGATACGGCTAAGGCCATTCAATACCATCCAAGTGTATAATCTCACGTCGATTTCATCCGGTACACAACCGCCGGATCTTTGCATCAAGTCGAATAGGGTTCCGGCGGGCGCGTATTCGAGGAGAAGATTGTAGAATTCGTGCCCGTCTTCGACGGTGGACTCGGCGCCATAGGAGTGGACGATTTCGGAGCAGTTGCGAAAATACTCGAGAATTCTGTTTTCTTTGACGAGGGTAGATGATTTTTCTAGTCTTGCTGTTTTCAGAGCAATTAGATCGTTTGTGTGTCTGTGACGAGCTAAGTAAACTGTAGCATAAGATCC